ATTCCTTCCTTGCTTCCCCGTCACTTGGCAGCCGCGCTTGGGCCTTCAAGACGGCACGCCACTTAGGACAAACTTAATGAGAAAGCGTTCCGCGGCTTCCCGAAGAGCGGTGCAATGACTAGGAAAGCTGGGATTGGTGGAATCTGTCGTTCTAATCTCGCCAACCTATACTGGATGAGTGGGCGGGAACCACAATGTTGACGCTAGCTCCGGCTCTAGGCAACGCCGAATGGAAAGCGACCTGGGATTGACCGGCGTCCCTTGTAATTTCAGTTCGCTGAAGTAAAGCTTCTCCTGACTAATGTCTAAAACGAAAGACTTCAGAAAGGTTTTGATTGGTTGAACCTATCAAGGAATCTCGCTTATAGCATCAACCTCAAAAGGCTGTGGGGGGAACTTAGAATAGAGGCAAAGAAGCGTCTTTCACACGCAAGGGCCAGTGGCGCAATGGATAACGCGTCTGACTACGGATCAGAAGATTCTAGGTTCGACTCCTGGCTGGCTCGATGCTGTGACCTTTTTTTTCCTCCCCCATTCATTAAAGACGATGTTTTCATAGATTCTTTAGTAATGCAGCTGCATAACTCCCAAACTAGAGGCAGCTTAGCTACTTATCCTATCCCAATACTGTTTGTACACCATGCCTAGCACCATCAGTCACTCCTCTGCTTTTATAGCTAAAAAAGATACTAAAAGCTGCAAATGTACAACTCTCATCACAGCTTTAATACGAAAAATTGTGCTGTGTTCCTACAATGTGCTAAAATGTACACTGTGGGGGCTCCCTAGGAGTTTCCAGTGCTTCACAGCTGCAAAGTGCCCAGGGCAGGGCAGAACATAGCAGCTTGTGGGAATTCAGGCAGGAGCAATGGGGGTAAAGGGTGGAGTGTAGGTTTTTCTCTCTCCCTCTTTTTTTTCTTTGTCCTTAGTGTTTGGGGAGGTGTATTATTGGGGTTGGGAGATATGGATGGGTAGGCCCAGGACAGAGGAACCCAGAGGGAGGGTGGACTGGGAAGAGATGTCAGGGTTGGGGGTGCTACTGTGTACAGTGACGGGCATAGGTATGGTGGGAATCTGAGGCATTTGGAGATCCCGGGAACACTGTTTGAGAGCGATCCAAAGATCTGGCCCTCAGCATTCAACTTCAGGACCAGGTAGACAGATCCTCGGCAGCCCCGGGCTCCTGCTGCTGTTGTTGAATGCTAGGTCGGTATATAATAAATCTGCCCTCATCCAAAATTTAATTGTGGGTGCTGACCTGGCATGTATAACTGAGATCTGGATAGGCCGGGGGTTCCCCTCTCAGAAATGTGCCCACCTGGGTTTTGGGTTTGGCATCAAC